TGCCGTCTCTGTACCATAGCGTGGCCTGAAGCCCAACTGAAACAGGTCCAGTGCGTTGGTTTCGTCCAAGAGCACCTGGAGCTGATCTGGCACCACCCTCTCAACCACTTTGCTAAGGAAAGAAACATTGGCGACTGGCCTATAATTTCCAATGTCGTCGGTCGCCAAATTTAGTTATAATTTCCAATGTCGTCCGCCGCCAAATTTTTTCTTCCTAATGGGCCTAATGAGTCTCCTTGAAGAGACCCATTAATTATTTCAATGGCCCATTCAGTTGTTACAGGCCTGGCTGCTTTGATTAGCCAGGCCGGGCAAGGGTCGAGAAAAGAGGTAGTGGCCCGACAGCGATCAAGCGTCTTATGCACCAAATCTGGTGTCACAGGCTGAAAGGAGTCAAGAATTACTGGGCAAGGCGGAGCACTGGACATCTCTGCTTGATCCATTGTAATGAAATGAAAAAGAAGGGATTTTGATACTGCCAAAAATGTTTCCGAAAGACATTGAGAAAGAGCGAGAGAACTATTTCTGCTTGAGTTGAAAAAACAGTGAGAAGGAAACCTCTCCCACTACAAGACAAACACTGGGCATTACTAAAGTTTTCATCCCTTCATATAAGCTGGTTGCTTCAGGTTTTTGCTGTTTTTTCATTTCTTTGTGTATGAGATCTCTATTTTATCAGTATAATGTTAAAATGACTGGTATATGGCTGTGAAATTCTTCACACTAATACTGATTTCATTTCTCCAAATGTTGGCATCTGTGTAGCCAAAACTGATTGTGCTAGCTGGGGCTTTCAAAGAATTCTAATTTCCCCAAGTGACACTTACAAGCCTGTGTAGCCAAAACTGATTGTGCTAGCTGTTGCTTTCAAAGAATTCTAATTTCCCAAAGTGACACAACTATGGAGGTGAAAATATTTCTTTTCTCCAAAGCATCTTAAATTTTCAATTTTTATTGGCCAAAACCCTATTAGGATTTTATCCTGTAGTAAAAGAAATCACATTAGCTGTAGTGGCAAATTGCTGCTAATTAGCATGATGCCAGTAATATGTCTCATAATGTGACTGGCACATGACTAGACCACCATGACTTGTGGGATTTCAGTTACTCTGGAGAAAAATCCCCTTAGGTTCTGACAATTTCTTTAAAAAGGCCTTTTGAAAGTTTAGTGTATACTCTTGTTTTTAGTCTGTGCCAGCCACCCTGAAAGCAATATGTTGTAGGATGCCATAGAAACACCATAAGGATGTTGAAGACATTTGGAATTTGATTTTTTTTCATTCTTGGTGCAGAGAAAAGCATGGAGAGATCTGCCCACTCTTACCCCCTTACTGAGAAAAAGAATAAAAAAATGTCTGGATGCTTCTTCATTAAAGGAAATAACTTATTCATGGTCTCTGTGAATGCGCACTATAGGGTTAATCTGTGCTTGTGTAGAGGTTTCTGGAATATTCTAGAGTTTTATCACATGTACACGTGTTCTGCGCGCCCTGATGATTCCCTCAGTTCCTTTTTGCTGCTGCTGAAGTTTCATCTCTTGAGCTCTCCATTCGCCTTGCTTTCGATTCTTACTAAAAACAAAAATACAGAAGGAAAATAGACTTTCGAGCTGTTTCTCGCTCTCCTGACTGCCTTACCTTCCTTCCACAGGGCAATTCAATGGTGCACCTCATGCCCTNAAAAAAGCCCCCCCCCCCATTAGGATGGAATATATTCCTGTATTTTTTTTGTCTGGAAGAATCGCACCAACCTTCTTCCTGTCAGGTCTGTAGAAATCTTACAAACAGGCCCTCTAATAGCGCCTCAGATCCTTCCTCTGGGAATGTTCCCTTTGACCATTACCACCTTCAATGGAACCAGTTTTGGTTCCCCAAGCTAGCACAGTTTCTACAGATATGCCTTCTACTTCTCCGATACTGAAATTAATACTTTTGAAGCCTAATTTGACTTCAAAATCTTGAGACCTCGGGATCGATGTCGAAATCGACATTGAAACCAACCTTGGCCTCTGACCATTCTAAGTCTATGTACTAAGGAAGAAAAACACATCTACAGACTCTCCCTCTACCAGGCTTCCTTCTTTGCAGTCTGTGCCCAACAAAACTGTCTTCTCTTCCCATTCAAGACTAGCCAACTGTGTATCTTGATTCACCTGCGGATGATGACTCCATTCCTCCATCATCTGGACAGCCACCACCTCTACTTGCACAGTCGCTAGACTGGCCTAACACTTCTGCTGATGTTACAGCAATTCCTCTATCAGCACACTCAAGCCCCATATCTGTGGGTTGCACTGTCTCCATTTTTGGGTCTGATTCAGCCTCTTCTTTGGTTGATCCATTGCCACCATGCAAACGATCTTGAAAGATTCACTATACACCTGAAACTTGGTGATCCGATGCCAAACATTCACAACCTCTGATACCACTGGTGTTGATGTTATCACAGGACGCTCACGCTCGATACCAGTACCCAAAGCGAGTCACTTGTCTGAGCCACCAACATATTATAAACCCCCACCGAATCACCACTGATCCAATCGATACTGTCAGCCTGATACCAGTTTCTACACCAACCCCAAGCATGCTCAGTATATGTACTATTATCTTTCTGACTCTTCCGAGTTCCCATCTCCACCTCAGTATCATCCTCCATCCCAAGCATATTATCAGTCTTCTTCAAATGAATTGCTGCCTCCCCTGGTACTGAAACCAATCAAACCTGCTCATAAGTGACCTGCTGAACCTTATACATCGCAACCAGCTATGATACCGCAGCGATCTTGACCATCGACATTGCTCCAATCACAGGTTGCAGAACCAACTACACTTTCTCATGTACGCTCTTCTTCTCTCCAAGTCACTGCCACCTACACAGGACCATCACCAGCTCCGCTTGATACCACTCGCTCTCGACAACCGAAAAGGCTACCCACTCAGTCCATCCCTCTGAAACATCATGGTACCAGCAAGTGTAGACGTTATCCTACTTCACCTCCACAGGACGACCTGCCTCATACATCTGGATCTTCATACCATACATATCGCACCTGCTCAACTCACCAACTCTCTGATGCTAACACTTCAGACTCTTCGCCTGCACATGAGTGTTTGCCTAATCTACCTACACCAGATTCACATGTAGCCGATACCAATCCACCATCTCCATCTGAGGACTTTTCTTACAACTCATTCTCCACATAGCAAAGGTGATGGACCTTGATATCCAACAGCCAGTACCAACAGAATCAGACAAGGTTTATGAGTTTATCTTTTCTCTCCTCAAGCTCATTAAACAATCAGTCTAAACCGTCCTCATTACCACAAATGTCCAGACCTATTGAGAATTTATACAAGACACATGGAGACGATACCAACTTTCTCTCCAAACATCCACCTTCTAATTCAGCCATAGTTGATGGTACACAAAATAGATGGTACACATAATTGCTCTAATGCTACTCCTAATAACCGAGAAGGTAGAAAAATTGACATTATTGGTAGAAGAGCCTATTCTTTAGCTTCCTTCACCCTTCAAGTTGCCAACTATCTAGCTGCTATGGGAGCATACCATTGCCATCTCTGGAACAAGGCTCTACCAGCACTCCAGTCCACACCCAACAAATACAAGGCCTGTGGCCTTGCTTTCCACCAAGAGGCCATGGCCTTAGCCCGTCTTACCATTTGATGGCGAGGGCCTCTTCGATGACAAGATCGATGAAATTCTTGACAACCTGTAAAAGATGAGGAAGACCGCCCACTCTTAAAATACGCAATCATATTACAGGCCCCAGCACTACCAATGGTATTGCTCTTTCCCCTATCAACAGTACAGACAACCTGTGGATAGGCAAAGATACTTACCACCATCTTCTTCATCTTTCCAACCTCATCATAACAACCAATGACAGTGCCCCTGACAGTCTTTCAGGCAGCCTGATAAGAAACCAAAGCAGAATCTTTGACTTTCCCACCGCCCAGATCTACCCACCTCCAATTTGACCCCGAAAATTTAGAATGTTGACCCTCGACACTATTATCCCTCTACTTTCACTGGAAGACTGGTTTGTTGTAATCAATCTACAGGACTCCTACTTCACCATTTCAATCCATCCATCTCATCAAAAGTTTATCAGATTCCAATTCAACAATTTCACCTATCAGTTTTGCTTCCTACCATTCGGACTTTCAATGGCACCAAGGACTTTCATGAAGTGCATGGCACCAGTCGCAGCGTATCTCTGCCTTTGGGGTAGAAACATCTACCCATACATTGATGACTGGCTGATATTCACGAAATCGCACCACAATGCCATGAGAGCAACAACCATCATGCTCGACACGCTTCAAGGTCTCGGCCTCAAAGTAAACCATGCAAAATCTCATCTGGAACTGTTGCAAACAATCACCTATGTCGGAGTCCTTCTGGACTGTGCACAAGCCAGGGCATTCATCCCACTGGAATGAATCATAAAACTAAGGAGAGCAATTCATCCCTTTCAACCTCGAGTTCTTGTTCCAGCTCATCATGTTCAACATCTCCTCGGGCTCATGGCATCTATGACATTGGTGATACAACACGCCTGACTCAAACTAAGGTCACTCTAATCGTGGTACCTCTCGCTGTTTGACCTGGTGATGGACCACCAGTCTATGACTTTGCCAGTAACACCAGAGTTAGCCACTCAATTCACCTGGTGGACTTCCATGTTGAAAGTCAATTCAAAGTCTTCCAATCGACAGTGCAGGTCACCTGTCCGGCTAGGGAGCACATTGTCTCCATCACAAAATACATGGATTATGGACAAAAAGCAAGAGAGGTTACTCCATATCAATCATCTAGAGCTCTTAACAATCATCAGAGCTTTCCATGCCTTTCTCCCTATCATCGAAGGTCGAGTAGTACAACTGGAAATGGACAATACAACTGCCCTATACTATGTGAACTAACAGGGATGCACACACTCTATCCCTCCTATACCTAGCCATCGACCTGTGGGAATGGTGCTATCAACACCACATCTTCCCTACTGCAGTACACATCTCTAAGGACGACAATTATATAGCAGATCATCTGAGTCGAAAGACATCCAGAACCCACAAGTGGTCTCTCAAGGATATCATTTTACATCAACTTTGTCAATGTTGGGGAATGCCTGCCATCAATGCCTGCCATGACGATGATAATTCGGTTCCCTGCTCAAGGATATCATTTTACATCAACTTTGTTAATCTTGGGGAATGCCTGCCATCGATGTACAGTGGTGCCCCACATGACGACGATAATTTGGTTCCCTGAAAGTACAGCGAAATCGTCATCATGTGAAAACAGTTTCCGCATTGGAATGCATTGAAAACCGGTTAATGCGTTTCAATGGGGAAAATACCTCGTCGTCCAGCGAAGATCCTCCATAGGGCAGCCATTTTACGCCAATCAGCTGTTTTTAATTGCTGTCTTCTGAAGCATGGGTCCAGAAAACAGCTGGAAACCATTTTGCAAAGCTGACAATCAGCTGTAAAGATTGTCGTCTTGCGAATAAACGGACCAAATCGTTGTGAAGTGGAATTCCCCCATTGAAATGCCTGTTTTGCGAATCGCTATAGCGGTCGCAAAATGTCATTGGCTGGTTTTGTCATTTAGTAGTGTCTTTGTCATGTGGGGCACCACTGCATTTGCATCACATATGAACATCAAGTGCAACATTTACTGCTCTCAAGCCGGAGCAGACAAGAACTCTATCGGGGACGCTTTCATGATGGATTCGAATGGGAATTTGCTATAACTCTTCCCACTGATACCACTTATTTAGCAGACAGTCAGCCATCTCCATTACTTCCAATTGAACGTGATCCTCATAGCTCCCTGGTGGCTGAGACAGCCTTGGTTCACTTACCTCCAGTCAATGTCGATGGAAACGTTTCGGCTCCCTCTGGCTCCCGACCTTCTGACATTGAACAAAGGGATCATCTACCATCTAGACATTCCATCCCTGAACCTCATTCCACTTTAAAGGTTTATATATCAGGCATCGTTGCCCATCAACGTGATAACTCCAGCTCAGCAAAACTTTTATCTCACATCAGGTTAAGAAATTTCTTAAGGGACTCAACAACATTCGTCCTCCATGCCCGCATATCATTCCCTAATGGTCACTGCAAGTCATTCTCAATGCGCTTGTGCGCCCACCATTTGAACCTATAGTCTCTTCAAACTTCAAATTGCTTTCTTTGAAAACATCCTTTCTGGTGGCTATAACATCTGCTAAAAGAGCTAGTGAGCTTGCTGCCCTCCGCTCTGATCCACCTTTTATCCAATTTTATCCAGATAAAGTGACTTTATTTTTTGATGTCTCCTTACGTAAGATTGTGTCAGAATTTCATCTTAATAAGCCAATCATATTACCATAGTTCTTTCAATCACCATCATCTCCTCTAGAGCACATGCTCCATATGCTCAACGCAAGACAGTCTCTGGCATTCTATATTGACAGAACTAAGACTTTCAGAAAAACGAACAGACTTATGCTTCCATGGTCCTCACAAGGGAGGTCCAGCCTCATCACAATCCATTTCCAGATGGATAGTCCAAATTATTTCTCTGGCTTATGAATTATCAGGCAAACCACCTCCTGATAAACTGAATGCACATTCCACTAGAGCGCTGTCAACATCTACTGCCTTCCAGCGTGGAATTGAGATTCCTAACATCTGTCATGCTGCAACGTGGTCTACCCCATCGACCTTTGTCAAGCACTACCGATTAGATGTGAGAGCATGCAATGATGCTGGATTTGGCAGAGCTGTGTTGGCATCCTTCCTACCATGACGTCCCACCATCTGGTTAGTGAAGCTTACTAGTTACCCATTTGTGTGAATTCACAGAGGCCACAAAGAAGAAAAAGAGGTTACCTACCTTTAACCATAGTTCTTCTAGTGGTCCTCTGTGAATTCACACATCCCACCCATCCTCCCCTCTGTCCGTCACGAGTTAATTTCAATTATTCTTCTGACCGGTGGACAAATTTTAGGAACTGAGAGGAATTGTGGGTGGGCGGAGCATGTGCTGAACAGGGGAACATCCCACTAAATTGTTACTTTTAGCTCTAGAATCTTCCGGGACGTTCAGCACAGGCGCAGAACCCATTTGTGTGAATTCACAGAGGACCGCTAGAAGAACTATGGTTACAGATAGGTAACCTTTTTTTCTCTCTGTCTCCTGTCCATTCACCACAATGCTGAAAACATGGAAGTGTAAGATCCCTTCTGAAACACAAGCTGTACAGGACAGATCCTAGTCCAGTATTCTGTTTCTATGGAGTAGAACTAGTTACCTCTGAAAAGCCCACCAGTGGGGCATGAATGCAACTCTGCCCTGCACTGTTGAGTTCCCAGCAGGTGACATATGCACCTAGGCATGCTACTTTTGATACTGGGGGTGTATATAACCATCATAACTAGACTATCTTCAGGGAATGGTATACAGCCATCCTAATGAGTACAGACTGTTCGTCCTGAGCTCCCAGAGGTTTGCATGGGAAATGCTATTGTTGTTTAGTTGTTAAGTCATGTTGAACTCTTGAACCCCATGGACCAGAGCACGCCAGGCGCTCCTATCTTCCACTGCGTCCCGGAGTTTGGTCAAATTCATGTTGGTAGCTTCAGTGACACTGAAGGGAAATGTTATAAGGTGTGACAAAGAGGCTCAGAAGTCAAATGCCATTTTCAGGCACCTTTAAAATTAACGAGTTATTATTTTTCATAAGCTTTTGTGTGTAAGCACAGATCTTCAGATGAAAAAATGAAAAATAAAAACTCATTAATCTTAAAGGTGCTACAAGACTTCTCAGTTAGACTCAGAAACTTTAATGTGTGGGTGAATGTGTTCTGTTTGGTTTTGAAACAGTGCTGAAAAATGACGAAGGTGTCATTCAGCACCGTTGAAACTTTGCATAGGCTTGCCAGTTCTATGTTTCAACTGTCTTCGTAATATGATTCGTGTATAATTCTCCAATTATGAGCTGAAATATTTTTGGTGTTGAATCACAACTGGTGACTTCCAATCCATCTTTGTTTCTTGATATACATATATCAATGTTCTGCAGTTGCATCTTGTGACCCAATATCTCAGAATCAATAATGGCTTGTAGCCTGATTTCTTGTAGTAGTTGCAGAAGGAGAAGCCAAATACTGTAGTCTCATAGAATTTAAAAGTGTTACGCATTATGGATCTCATAGTTAAATCTGGAAATTCTCCCTCCCCCATATACCTAATGGATACTAAATCAAATTCAGTTTATTCTTAATATGTGGATGTCACAACTTTGTGGATTCCTTATTTAATGCCTTGGTCTGGAAATGGAAGTTAATAGCTTATAGGTATGTTTGTCAGAGGGAAGTGGATGTTGCCAAATAGGATGCAAGTTGGTGCCCTCAAGTGGTGATGATTATTATATGCAGGAAAGGGGAAGCCTCAACTTAAAATGTTTCATCTCACCCCCAAAAGGTAGACCTACCTTATACCTCTTATTTCTAATCACCTTTGTAACACAGGCATCATTCATAATGATAGCGGTCAATTAATTAATGAATTCCAACAATGAAGGTGTCTAGTAAAGAAGAACCTTGTGTGAACAGAACTTCAACAGCTACGGCCCAGCTACAGCTCCATAACCATGTCAAAAATATGTTTTGAAAGGAGATACTGTTAACCAATATTTCAAATGAGTGAGTTTCAGAATCAGTGGATCCTGAAACTCTGGAACCATTACTTCAGCCCGTAGAGCCTCACAACTGGCTGCTCATTGCATAAACCTTCCACAGCCCGTAGAGCCTCAGAACTGGCTGCTCATTGCGTAAACCTTCCATTCTTCCAATTCCACCCTGACAAGGTTACTCTTTATCCAAATGTCTTCTTTCTCCTGAAGTTCAGAGGTGTGCTTTGCCATTGAGTTTCAGTGGTGGTGGTGTTGCAACCTATGGCAGATGTGGGAGGGGTTTAGGCCCAGATCTATTGCTCAGAGTTTAGAAATTGTGTGTCCGTGTGTGATGGTTTTCAGATGAAGCTAAACTGCTGAGCTCAAGTAATTGCTTCTGTTTGCAATATGTTGTGTTCATAAATAGTGGTTTTAACAGAGCGTGTTGGTTGATCCGGTGGCAACCTTCAGGTGCCCCTATGAAAGTAGTTCTGAGAGGGTAGGAGGAGGTACAGGGACTAGACATACTGGGTAGGCAGAAATTCAGTAAAGTAGCTTGCCTAGTCCTTCTGGATGTTGACTCAAGTCAAAACAGCTCTGTCACGTCACACCTGCCTCTTAGAGGCTTTCACATTTCTTCTCAGACTGCCTCTCGTTGGATTGTTGCAACTATAAGTTGGCGTACCAACTTGCCAAAAAGCCTCTGCCTGTCGGCATTAAGGCACACTCTACGAGGGCTCTTCCTACTGCCACAGCCCTTCTCCGAGGAGTACCTCTCCATCTGTAATGCTGCTACTAGCACAACCCCTTCTACATTTGCTACTCATTACCACCTGGGCTAAGACAGATGCCACGTTTGGCAGGGCTGTGCTCTCTTCTGTCCTTCCGTGACGTCCCTCCTCTGGAAAGTCAGCTTGTTAATCACCTTATAGTGTGCATTCACAGACACCACAAAGAAGAAAGAGAGGTTACTTACCTGTAGCTCTGGTTCTTCGAGTGGTCATCTGTGAATTCACACTTCCCGCCTGTCCTCCCCTGGTCCATCATGTCTGTCTCACCTTTGATGCA